CACACACACACACACACACACACACACACACACACACACACACACAACTATTGTTTAAGAGTTTGCCCTTTTTAGATCAGGGGAGAAAGGTCATGAACACAGCAAGAGCATTGGAGCAGAAGCATCAGAGGTTGAGCAGTTAAGAGCTTGGAGCAGGGCTGGGGATTTAGCTCAGTGGTTCCGCCACCTGCCTCAGAAGTGTGTGGTTTTGAGCTTTTCTAGCTCTGTTGCTTTTGCTTTATGTAATGATGGCTTCTTTTTTAGAGCAACAAACAACTCGAGACCTTTGAATGCCATGGGCCAAGGGCTGTCAGCTGTCTTGCCACAGCCCAAGAAGGTTCCCGAAAGCTGCTGGTCGTGGGATCTTATGACTGCACCATTAGTGTGCGGGATGCCCGGAACGGACTGCTCCTCCGAACTCTGGAGAGCCATACCAAGACCATTCTGTGCATGAAGGCGAGTATCGTAGGGACAAGAGGGCTCTGGTGTGCTAGAAGATGTTGAACCGCATTTCCCATTGCTCACATCACAGATATCTTGAAAAGAGCAAGTAGCCTGCAATCCTTTTATTAACACCTGGGTCAGCAAATAGCCTGCTGCTCTTTAATATATTAGCTGAGAGTAAGAGTATGTTCTGTCATACATAGACTGTAGGTACAACTCTGATCATTCTGGGGAGGTAGTATCATCAGTCCATCAGTGTGCCTAGTGGTACGGAAGTATCAGTGAGAGGATTAGTCTGGGAAACATTTTTTACCTAGTTCATGCTCATCTTGAAATAGGATGGAAGTTAGAAACCACCAGTTTGTGTTACAAGTTTCAGATCAAACTGAGGCCTTGTGTAGAATCCAACTGACTGAGTCATTCCATTGAAGGTGGTGAATGACCTCGTGTTCAGCGGCTCCAGTGACCAGTCCGTCCATGCTCACAACATTCACGTAAGCCATGCTGCTGTAGTGCAAGAGAATCTCTGGTTCACATGTGAAAGCTCCCTCAGACCTCTTGTCATTTAAATTAAGCTCTTTTTCCAGTGAAAGGATTAACACTGATCCCTGTGCGTATGCTAACAGATTGAACCACCTCATCAAAAATTTCAGTGGGGCCAGGTGTGGTGGTCCACGCTTGTAGCCCCAGCACTGGGGAGGCTGAGGCGGGAGGATCATTGCAAGTTTGAGGCCAGCCTGGGCTACATAGTGAGGCCCCGTCCCTGTCTCAAAAAAACCAAAAAAAAAAATTTTTTTTTAAATGGGGAACAGACTCAAAGCGCATATAAGGTTTTGTTTGAATACCTCATTTAACTTGAGCAGCTGAAGCTCTTAGAAAGTCGACATGATATGGAGTTTAGAATAGAACAAGTAAAAACAGCTGAGATTCTATACTTAGCTCTTAAAAGCAGCTCTCTGAGGCTCAGTTCCTGTTCTCTAATCCAGGGCATAATCCTATCTAAGGAACTTAGCCACGTGAGGGTCCGTGAATAATAAAAGCAAAAGTACAAGTTTTCCATCCCTCATCTGAATGCTTGGGAACCAGAAGTATTTCAGATTTCAGACTTTTACAGATATTGGAATATTTGCATGTACATGAGATAGCTTGGTGGTGGGACGCAAATCTAAGCAGAAAACTTATGTTTCATATACACATAGCCCAAAAGTAATTTTATATTTTTAGTGTGCCTGTGTTTTGACTGGTCTATTACCTGAGGTCAGGCAAGGGATTTTCCATTTGTAGTACAAGTCCCTCTCAAAAGGTTTTGGTTTTGGACCATTTTGAGTTTCATATTTTTGGATGAAGGTTACTCAAGATGTACTTCAGAAGCTATGAGATGCATACGGATAGAGCTGTGGCCCTTCTTTTTCTGTAACTTTAGGCCTCTGTGAGGATGCATTGCCTATACATCGAGTAGATGTATTGTGGGAGATGCTTGTGGGAGACTCTAGCTGTTTTTACAGGTAGCCTCAGAATTATGCCTCTTAGAATTATAGAATTGTACAAATCTGAAAAGTAGAAAGAAAAATAGGAATCTTATGTAAATTCTAGTGACCCTTACCTCTTTTCCGATGTAGACTGGTGAGCTTGTGCGGATCTATAAAGGTCACAACCATGCAGTGACCGTGGTGAACATCCTAGGAAAAGTGATGGTGACTGCTTGCCTGGATAAATTTGTTCGTGTCTATGAATTACAGGTAGAATTTAGATCCAGTGTTTTACCCGATTACTTTGGGGAGATTGTTTGTCTGGGCTTGGTGTTGGGTTTTGGTGCGGTATGGCTGAGTTGGAGCACAAGAATGCATTTTCACAAGCACCCTGGATAGTTAAAGAATGGCTGGCCTAGGGGCCACCCCTTAGAGACACTGCCGCAATACATGGTGTCAAACTCATGGATGTCAGAATCCTCTAAATGGTTCTGGAGAGTGACCCTGGCCTCTTACAACTGTCCAGTTCTCCTTGTGTGCATTTTCAAGTTTGAGACTGATCCTAAAGAAACCAATTTCACTATTTCTAATCACCAACACCCCGCTTGAGCAATGGGACTCAGGAAGACCAGTGCCTGCTACAGCAGCGCTCATGTGTGATCCCAGCTGAGGAGGAGGCTGGGCCAGACGGATTGCGAGTTCAAGGCCACCCTTGGGCAGCTTAGCAGGACACTATCTCAAAATAAAGAAGGGCTGGGGACGTAACTCGTGACAGCACATTTGCCTAGCACGTGCCAGTCCTTAGGTTCAATCCCTAGTTCAGGGGTTGAGCGGTGGGACTGTCATCAGATCATATTTCTGTTAGAATGTTGCCAGTACTTCACTGTAGTGTCTCAGGTGGAGTTTTAAGCCTCCTAGAGGCCTGACGGGGCTATGATTTTTAAGCACAAGGTTTAAGTAATCTTATTTCCTCTATTTTTTTTTACTTTTGCATAAGTCTCATGATCGACTGCAAGTTTATGGAGGACACAAAGACATGATTATGTGTATGACCATCCACAAAAGCATGGTGAGCATTGTGTGCTGTGTGAGATGTTTACCTTTGAATATGTTAACTTGAAAATCTAGATACCACTTGTCACCTCTCAGAGTGACATCTGTTTCTGATACATATTCAGTATTGAATTCCTTTTTACTCAGCATAATGGTGAGAAGTAACCCAGTGACATTGTTGAATATTTCATTTCTATTAATAGTGAAAATAATTACAGTAAAAAAGTCTAATGCCATCATTAAATAGAAGATATATTTAAGATGCTTCAAAAAAAATTGTGTGGTACTTTTTCTGGAGGCCTTATGCTCTGAATGGAATGTTGGAATGGAGTCAGGAGATTTGACCAGCCTGGCAGTTACAGCAGACCTAAAAGTAGACCTTGCTAAGCCTTAGTAGATTTTATTTTTAAGTTATGAGATGGAACCAGGATGTAGTCAAAGCCTTTCTTTTTTTGGTACTGGGGGATCGAACTTGGGACCTTGCACTCTCGAGGCAGGCGGCAGTACCATTGAGCTAAATCCCTGGTGTCAAAGCCTTTCTTACAGTGAAATTCAGACACCTGATGCACAACACCAGTTAGAAGCCAGAGCTCCCTGGTTAAAAACTCGGTGGTGCCCCGGGTCTGCTGGTCTTGCTCAGAGACACAGTCCCAAGGGGGCTCTCTAAGGGGCACGGCTTCGAAGTGTCCAGACCCTAAGGTTTAGAAATTACTTCCCCATTCTAATGCTGTGCAGCTGATTTTGCTTTAGGTTAGTGTTTTCTTTAACTCTTAGTTTGAAGGTGTTGTATAGTTGTTTCTTTGTGTGTATTTTGGTCTCATATTCCAACTTCTTTTTCCAGATTTACACTGGCTGTTATGATGGCAGTATTCAGGCTGTGAGACTAAATCTGATGCAGAATTACCGCTGTTGGGTAAGGAGTGAAACTGTTCTTGTCACCAGATTTGGGAAATGCTTAGGCTAGCTTATAGATCCTAGTATTTATGTACTTGAGCATCTAACTGTATGTCTTTCACTGTGAGACAAAGAAGCTTTTATACTTTAATAAAGTATCTATCATAAGATTAGACATAAGGGCTACCTAAATGTCTTCTCAGGTTATCTCCTAGGTGGTTTTTGTTTTGTTCTGTTTTGTTATAAAAATACATGCTTAAAAATATCCATCATTGCAGAAATAAATGGAAACTCAAGGTGCTTATTTTTATAACCTGTCCTTCCATCCACACCCACTTCTCAGGACTTGCAAGTATTTCATGGATTGCTTGTGTCTTCATTAGTTTCTGAGGAAGAAGCAAATAAAAGTTTATAGTCTCTAACTTATAAACCTAGCATGTGTGGTGGTGCACACCTGTAATCCCAGCACTTTGGGGGCCAAGACAGGAGGATCACAAGTTCAAGCCCAGCCTGAGCAACTTAGCAACTGAGACTCTGTCTCAACATAAAAATAAAAAGAAGGCTAGGTTGTAGCTCAGTGCAAAAGCCCTGGGTTCAATCACGGCTACTGCAGAAAGGAAAATAATAAAAAGTGAGGAAAGACCCCGTGTTCAATCCACAGTACTCAAAAGAAAAAAAAGGTTCATTGGACTGAGGGGTGTGTTTTCTATTTTGGGGCAGAGGCTGATGATTAGGCCTTAAAACTTCACTATTCCTTACAAGACTCAAAAAAAAAAAAAAAAATCAGTTTGAGTATAGCAGTGACCAAAGAAAAGTTCATGGCGCTGAGTTTCTTTTCCCCAGTCCTAACCTCCTTTGCAGCATTGATGGAATGAACATGACACTCAATTTTTAAATTTGATTTTAGGTTTCTCCACAGCCTAATTACTTTTCAGCTTTTTAATATTGTCTTTACTTTTTAGTATTATCAATGAAGGCAAACAAAATGTAGCACAACAAGATCTAGAGCAGTGGAGAAAATACCTTTTGATTTCAAATGTAGCGGATGCAATTCTCTAACAGGAAAAACTGAAATTTGCATTATTTTTAGAAAAAAACAAAACAACAAAAAAGAAATAAACATGTTAGAATTACAATATTTATCACAAGCCTCTAAGGAAAAAGCCAAGACAGAGTGCTTATGCTTTCTGACTAATATGTGAAACCGAGTCATATTTATAATTAAAGTTTAAATTAAATTTAGAAAAGGGTGATCATAAGATTCAAGTGATAAAGACAGTGAGAGAATTCAGGCTTCCAAGGCTAGCAGTTTCTACAACAAACATTTCCACAAGTGTAGTTTTCTTTATCAGATATTTTTGTTTTCAAGTTTATAAGTAAATAGTTCTCAGAATTGTTAAATAGTATTATAGGAAAGCCGTTTGCCTTTTACAATAAATAGCCTAGGATAGAAATTTAAATTTTATCATGGCAAGATAAATACAGTTTAAACTGAATTTATGGTAATTCATCTATTAATATTTGTTATCCTTTTCCTTATCTAACAAGTGTAATGGCTTCCCAAAACACCAGTGTGCCAAGTGGCTTCAGTCTTTGCAAGGTCCTCACTATATTGATAATTAATTTGATTTCCTCTGGTTTTGTTATATACTGTAGCCAAGAATGAAGGAAGGAGTGGAGCTTTCACAGTCTTTATGGGATAAGAGCAAGGGATATCCTGATCACCTGTCTACTGTGCTCTTCGTTGTGTTTGTTTTTTCTGCACCCTTTCATCTAGTCCCCTTGTTCTCCTTCTTCACAGTGGCATGGTTGCTCTCTGATATTTGGTGTTGTAGATCACTTGAAACAACACTTGCTGACTGACCATACTAATCCAAACTTTCAGACTCTGAAGTGTCGCTGGAAGAACTGTGATGCTTTTTTCACAGCTAGGAAAGGATCCAAGCAGGTACATCAGTGGCGCTCGTGGTTAATCTGGGCTTTGGCAGCCCGCTCAGGGCAGAGGCCAGAAGATCTGGTGCTTTATTAGAGTATTCAGAATTACAGTAAATAGGGCCCAGACATTTTTTGTTTTATTATTCAGAGACTCAGGGGATTTTTCAGTGAAGAAGAGCCTGGGGAGAGCGTTTTCAGATGTTTCAGTCCAGTAGCTGATTGCAGTGCTTTGTTCTAAGAACTCATTTTTTTTTTTTTT